CGGGCAGCAGGGGACAGCGGCGCTGCCGCCCGCGGTGAGAGTGGGGCACGGCCCCGGGGGAGGAGGGGGGCAGGAAGCCTGGCAGGGGAAGTCCTGCCCTGCCCTGCCCTGCTGGTCACTGCCGCAACAAGGTTGTGGGTTTTCCCTCGTCCCAGCCCAGGTTGGAGACCCTGCCTTAGCCAGGGGCTCCTGGCAGATTGCGACCGCATCTGGGGTGGGTGCCATTGGGGAACGGGAAGACCTGTCGCCACCATGAGCCAGCGCGGTGGTGCGCCAGGCTCTGTACGTGCCCAGGATGAAGGCTGGGTGCCGATGCCAGCCGGGAACATGGTCATGGAGCATCAGGTAGGGCGCAGCCGGCAGCACTGTCGCCAGGTGGATGAGACTGGGGCGAAGCTCCCCTGACCCCGGGGACCCCCTCCCCCCCCGGCTCTTGCCCCTCTCAGGAGCCGTGACATGGCCCCTGCTCCCCGACCCCGAGCAGCGAGAGGCAGCTGGCGGGGAAGATGAAAGTCTGGCAGGAAACACCTGGCTCTTGCAGGAAGGCAGGAGGGGCTGGGGAAGGACCCAGCAGTGCTCCCCCACCCTGCTGGGGCCAGCGCAGCCCCACCCCCACCAGCATCAGGCCTGCCTGGGCCCCGTGTGGCACCAGCAGAGGGTCCCCCCTTTCTGGGTCTGAAGTGCCCCTCCCTGCTCTCCCCCACTCCTCTCTGCTTAGCAGGACTTCTCCCAGCTCCTGCTACCGAGTCCTTTGCTGCCTTCCCAGCAGGCCCCACTGAGCCAGGCTGGTGTTCTGTCACGTGATCCCTTCTCCCCCCGCTTCCAGGGGGCCATGCTCTCCCCCAGCACGAGGGCTCTTGGGTTCAGCTGAGATTTCCTCTTTCTCTTTCTAGATGCCCCTGGAGCAGCCTAAAGCCGACGGCCAGAGCTTCCCGCTCCCCCTTCAGCCCCGGGAGAGCATCCGAGCCCACCGCCTGCCCCCGGTGCCCATCTGGGCCCTGCCAGCCAGCGACCCCCCTGCTCCGCTGGCCCCGGAGCCCCTGCCCACGCTGGCCCGGGAGCCGCCACTGCCGCAGCTCAAGGACAAGGAGACTCGCAGCGCTGTGAAGAGGGGCCTGTCCCAGAGGAGCAGTGGGCGGCGGGAGCCCTGCTTGCCACCCTACGTGAGGCTGGAGAGGCTACAGATGCCTGCAGAGGATGAGGGCAAGGCAGAGCCCGCTCCAGGTCCTGGCGACAGTGCCAAGGCTGCCCAGGTGAGGGGCTCCATCATCCCATCCCAGCATCCTTGGTCAGACGCTCCCCAAGCGCCCCAGCCTGGGGCTGAATCGTACCTGGTGCCGCTTGGCAGCGCGCTCAGTGGAGCCCATGAATCTGGGGTTCCTGGTTTCTCTCTACCCCCAAACCCTGAGTTTAGGGGTCGGAGGACACTGTTCTCCCCGCGGGGCTGGATTTGGGCGTGCTTGGGCGGGGGCTGCCTCCCAGCTTGGCCCCCTCTGAGTGGTGCCTCTCTGCAGGAGCCACGCCCAGACTGGCAGGTGGTGCGAGATGGGAGAGCCCGGCTGCGGGTGCTGGAGACAGCTTCGGCCCCGGCTCTGGCCCCAGCCCCGGAGGTCGCAGCTCCCCGGCGGCAAGGCGCTGTGACCAGCCACATGCCCAGGGTGCAGGGCACAGCTCTCTGGCTGCCTGGGAGTGCAGCCAGCAATGCTCCCAGGCCATCAGGTGCGGCAGAGATGAGCTTGGCTGGGCGGCAGGTGCCTGGTGGGATGCGGAGCAGCCCTGGAAAGTTCAGCCAGGTAAGGGAAGGGGCAGGCGCAGGTTGGGTCAGGGGGGCTCACAAGGGGCCTTACGTGGCTCCCAGTGCTCCGTGCTGAAGTCTGCTCTCTTCTCCCCACTTCCCCGCAGCGTTTCCTCTGCACCTGGTGCTGTCTCTTGGCCCTCCCAGTCCTGCTGGGTGTGGCCGGCTGGTACTTGTGGGAGCAAGGCAGCTCGGTCTTGGCCCTGGGGCTGGTGGGCCGGTGGCCACTGGTTCAGAGCTGGGGGGTTGAGCCCGAGGTGCCTTGCAGCCAGCAGTGCAGGTAAGAAGGTTGGTGGGGCAGCAGCCAGGCACCCTATGACCCTCACCTGCCTCTGACCTGGTCTCTCTCCATGGCCACGGCAGTGCCATGCTGGTGGAAAGCCTCCCTGAGGGCCTGGACTACCCATCTGGCAGCCCTCGGCCCCTCGCCGTGCACCAGGCCTGGATGGACCTACTGGGCCGCGCCAACACTAGTGTGGACATTGCTGCCTTCTACCTCACCCTGCGGGACTTGGACATGTCTAAGACGGAGACCTCTGCTTGGCAGGTCAGGCTCGGGGCAGGGGGAGGGGACAGGACACTGCTGGGGGGTGGAGGGGCAGCGGTGCTGACCCTGACCTGCTCCTGGTGCTCCCTGCAGGGCAGGGAGGTGTTTGAGAGGCTACAGGACCTGCCAGCCCGCGGGGTGCAGCTGAATGTGGCTGTGAACAGCCCCCAGGAGTCGAATGCTGACACCCAGGACCTGGCCAGCAAAGGTAGCTGCTGCTCAGGGGCTAGGAGGGAACCAGGACCCTCCTCTGGCCTGGCTGGAGCTGCCTGAGCCCCCCGTAGGCTGGGGGTTGAGAGCAGGGGGGCTTCCAGCCCCCTGACGTCCATCTCGCCTCCCTTTCCCCCACAAGGGGCTAACGTGAGCTCTGTGGAGATGAAGCGGTTGACGGGCGGGGTGCTGCACTCCAAGTTCTGGGTGGTGGATGACAAGCACGTCTATGTCGGGAGCGCCAACATGGACTGGCGCTCGCTCACGCAGGTACCGTGGGGGCGCACGGGCAGGTGCACATGCATGTGCTGGCAGTGAGCTGGCCAGGGGCACATGGGAAGATGGTGAGCGGGGCTGGGTCTTGGGGAGGGGGCTGTAGCCAGGTGCTGGGGGCTAGATGTTGGGATGGGGCAGGGGCTGCGGGTGCAGGGCTCAGGGCCCAGGACCAGGGAGCCACATGCTCACCCCCACCTCACCTTCCTGCCCGCAGGTGAAGGAGCTGGGCGCTGTACTCTACAACTGCAGTTGTGTGGCCAGTGACCTGGGCCGCATCTTCGGCACCTACCGGGCACTGGGAGGACCAGGCACCCCCCTGCCTGCGGCCTGGCCCCCGGAGCTGGCTGCCCTCTCCAGCCTCCGCCGGCCCCTGAAATTGCAGCTCAATGGTGTCCCCACACAGCTGTTCCTCTCCGTGAGTGCCCGGGGGGTGTGGGAGGAGGGGCAAGGGGAGCTGCGCCCAGGCGACCTTGCTGCGCCGGCTCTGAGACTGTCTGTGCCCAACCCCAGAGCGCCCCACCGGCCCTGTGCTCTGCTGGCCGCACCCCTGACCTCGAGGCCATCCTGGAGACCATCGCAGACGCCCAGGCTTTCATCCATGTTGCTGTGATGGACTTCGTGCCCCAGTGTACCTTCTGCACTCCCAAGAGGTAGCCGCGGACTAGACCGGCACTGGCTGGGGGAAGTCTAGGAGCAGTGATGCCTGTGATCTCCAGGCCTTGGGGTTTTGCTGGCTGCCACATGGGGCTGGGAGGGAATTTTCCCCTTGCATCAAGATTTCTCCCTCTTCTGCAGTGGTGCTGGGTGTCAGCCGCAGCCCAGGCTGGGGGCAGTGACTGGGTTGTGCTGATGGTTCTGCTGGGACTCAACCCAGAGTGTCCTGGCTGGAGGGTCGTACCCCCTGCTCAGGGTCAAACTGTTGCTGCACAGGGGGCAGGAAGAAGTTTTCCTCTGGTCAGATTAGTACGGACCAGGGTGCGGGGTGGGCGTTGTCTTCCTCAGTAGCGGGCGCCCTGGGGTCTCTGGGGCATATTTAACGCCCCTCCCACAGGAGCAGGGTGTTGGCAGACAGACCCCTGGTTTCCCTTTGGGCGGGCTCGGGTGGTTGGGTTGGAGGTGATTGCATTGTTGTGCCCATAGGTGAGTTCGCAGGGCCTGGCTTGCGTGGGGCAGGGGTTTGGGGCTGGATGCGACTCCCAGAGGTCTCTGCCTCTCCACGTGACCAGCGCCGGCTGCCCGCAGGTTCTGGCCAGTGCTGGATGAGGCGCTGCGGGAGGCAGCCTGCGGCCGGGGGGTGCGCGTGCGGCTCCTGGCCAGCTGCTGGCCTCACTCTGACCGTGCCATGTTCCCCTTCCTGGAGTCGCTGCTCATCCTCCACCGGGAGCCCCTGGGCTGCCCCATCGAGGTGGTGAGTCCTGGAGCGGCAGGAGAGGATCCCAGCCCAGGGAGGGGCAGGGGTCACTTCAGAGCTGGGGGGGAGGTCAGGGTAGGGGGTGACACTACCGCTCCCTCCACCTCTGCTGCAGAAACTCTTCGTTGTCCCGGCCACGGAGCAGCAGAAGCAAATCCCCTTCGCCCGTGTCAACCACAACAAGTACATGGTCACCGACCGCGTGGCCTACATCGGTGAGCCCGGGCACCAGTGCTGGGAGGGGGCTGGAGGCATAGACACCTGGCTTCTCCCCAGCCCTGGGAGGGAAGTGGGGGTGGGGGCTTGGAGCAGGGGGGAGCTGGGAGCCCGGACCCCTGGCTTCCACCCTTTTTCCGGGGACCTCTCTGGTGAGCTGAGCCCTCCCCTGCCCAATCCCAAGCAGCACTGGCGTTTATCACTGGTTTCCCCCCCTCCCCGTAGGCACCTCGAACTGGTCGGAGGACTACTTCATCAACACCGCAGGCGTGGGCCTGGTTGTGAATCAGAGCGCGGCCGAGCCGGGGACACCCGGGCCCTCCCTGCGGGAGCAGCTGGCCGCCGTGTTCAACCGGGACTGGGAATCTCCCTACA